ATAATTTAATCTGAAAAAAAAAAATGTATTAATATACTCAGCAAAGACAAAATACAAATAGCAGGGGCTAGAGAGATGGCTCAGTGGCCAAGAGCATAGGCTGCTCTTCCAGGTCCTGAGTTCAATTTCCCAGCACCCACATGGTGGCTCAAAACCATCTGCAGTAGTAGAATCTGATGTCCCTTTCTGGCATAAAGTCAATCATATACATAAGATAAAGAACTAAATCTTAAAAAAATAAAACAAATAACAAATAAGCATGGGTTTGGACATATGGCTCAGAGGTTGAGAGTACCAGTTGTTCTTCCATAGAACTTGAATTTAATTCCCACCATTCACATGGCAGCTCACAATCATTGGTAATCCAGTTCCAAAAAGTCAGATACCCTCTTCTAGCCTCCAAGGACACCATACACACTGGTGTACAGACATTCATGAAGGCAAAACACCCATACACAGACATCATTTTTTTAAAAATGTATGCTTAACCTATCAGCAAAAATGTAAGTTAACATCACAATGAAGGCACATGAATTTAATCCCAACATTGGGGAACTGAAGCAGGAGGGCATGAATTCAAGGCCAACCTGGTCTACAGAGTTAAGTTCCAAGATAGCCAGAGGCTACACAGAGAAACCATTTCCAACCACCCCTGCAAAACAAACAAACAAAAACAATGAAGGGACCTAGGACCACTTCACTACCCTTTCAGGCCTGACCACACAAATTCAATGCCCATAATCCACAAAAAAACTAGATGAAGTAGTATGTACTTATAATCCCAGCACGGCTAAGGCATGGCAGGAGAACTGCCTGGAAACTCATGGGCCAGACAGCCTGGAGTACAGAGAATATAAACAAGAGACCCCTGCCTTAACCAAGTGCAAGGAGATGACTAAATCCAATAAGTGATCCTGTGACTTGCAAGTGAGAACTGTGGCACATCTGAGCAGGCGCGCGCGCGCCCACACACACACACACACACACACACACACACACACACGCGCGCGCGCGCGCGCGCGCGCGCGCGAGAACACACCTGAATTAAATGGTTTTAGAAACACAATGGGGCCATCGAGAGGATTTAGCAGGCAACCCAAGTTCGATCTCCAGGACACACTTTGTAAAGAGAACTGACTCTCAAATTGTCCTCTCACCTCCTTATGCAGGCTTGTTTTTTTAAAAAAAAAAAAGGTAAGCTCAAACCGTAAATACTGCCTAGTTTTGTTTTTGTTTTTATGTGGCACCTAGGGCCCTATGCATGGCATACACAGCTACGGAACTACAACTCCAGTTGCTGTTATTTGTTTGGGACTTGGTAAGCTTTTGGGTTTTTGTTGTTGTTTTTTTGGGTGTGTGTGAGAGAGTGTGTGAGAGAGAGAGAGAGAGAGAGAGAGAGAGAGAGAGAGAGACAGACTGACTGACTATGTATCCCAGGCTGCTCTTGAATATACCATGTAACTCAATCTGACGTGGAGCTCACCACACTTTATCATTCAAGTATTGGGATTACAGTCATTCGACTGTCTTATTGTTTTTGTTTAAACATTTTCCAAGATCTTTATATTTACTTTTTCATTTTTCTGTATACAGGCATTCTTGTCTGCATGTATCTCTTCAGCACGTGCATGCAGTGCCCAAGGATGCCAGAAGATGGAGTCACATCTCCCGGGACTGGCGTTACAGAGGGTTATAAGCCACTACGTTGGTGCCAGGAACCAAACTTGAGTCCTCTGGAAGAGGAGCCAGTGCTCTTTAACACCTAAGCCATCTCTCCAGCCTCTCAAGATTGATAGTCTTAATTATGTGAGTGAGTGAGTGTGTGTGTGTGTGTGTGTGTGTGTGTGTGTGTGACCATGGAGACCAGAAACATCACATCTCCCTGGACCTGAAGGTACAGGCAACTGTGAGCTGCATGAGCTGAGAATCAAACCTGCGTCCTCTAGAAGTAATGCTAGAAGTAACACAAATGCTAAGCTGTCAATCTAGCACACACACCTTTTTGAACAGCATTTTATTGTGTAGCCCTGGCTGACCTTGAACTCTGTATGTAGACCAGACTAGCCTCGGACTCAGGTCTCTCCTTTCAGTGCTAGGATCAAAAGTGTATGCAGCAACACCCAGCGTTTAAATCCTTTTAAATCTCATTCTGTAACCCAGCCTGGCTTCAAAATCAAATCCTGTCTTCGGCCTCCCAAGTCTGGAATTACTGACATGTGCCATGACACCCAGTTTAATGCTGCATTTTAAGTGACGATGATAAGGTGAAATGGTCAGTTCACAATCAGATATCCTTGAAGTTCCAAAGTCACCTAGGGACATTTTCACACAGTGAAGCAGTAAGCTAAATAAATCAATGCAAGTAGATGAGCAATCCCTGTGACACATGACTGTAATGACAACAGGCGGATTTTGAGCTTGAGGACACTCTATCCTACCAAAAAAAAAAAAAAAAAAAAAAAAAAAAGGGGCAGTCAGGGGGTCAGGGGACACACCTGAACTCCCAGCCCTTGGGGGGCAGAGGCAGTCAGATCTCTGAGTTCAAGGCCAGCCTGGTCTACCTACAGAGCTAGTTCCAGGACAGCCAGTGCTACACAGAAAATTAAAAAAAAAAAAAAAAAAGCAAGAGTGGTAAAGTATCTGTAACTCCATCCTTTGAGGTGGAAGCAGGAAGATCAGGCTCAAGGTCATTCTCTGCTATACAGCAAGTTCAAGAAGACCAGTCTAAATTACATGATGCCCTGTCTCAAAAATATATACACAGGGTGGGTAAGATGAAGGAGCTTTTGCCACGAAGTCTGATGACCTTAGTTAAATCCCCAAGACCCACAGAGTGGAAGGCCACAACCAACTCCCACAAGCTGTCCTCTGACCTCCACATCGTACCATGCCATGTGTGTGAATGGGCTTAAAACCACATGCCAAATAATAAATATAACAAAAAGTTTAAAATACAAACAAATGTGGAAAGAGAAAATAAGGAGTTACTTCAAAGACTCATTAATCACTAAAGAAAGCCAGTTGTACTCAATCCTGACTGAAATGTTCATAACATAAAAATAAAGGGTGGCTTCAAACTAAAGACAACCCTTCCTGCCTCAGTTTTTCTTTTTTTTTTTTTTAATACTTTAACTTTTATTTTATGTGCATTGGTGTGAAGGTAGCAGATCCCCTGGAAGTGGAGTTACAGACAGTTGTGAGCTGCCATGTGGGTGCTGAGAAGTGAGCCCAGGTCCTCTGGAGGAGCAGCCGGTGCTCTTAACGCCGAGCCATCTCTCCAGCCCCCCTGCCTCAGTTTCTTGAGTGCTAAGAAATAGGCATGAACAAGGTATCTAGCTCACTTGTTCTTTTATGACATTTCTTTTTCTTACAAGGCTATGAAGACCCACTCACTCAGTGAGACAGTACAGACTAAAGTAATTAATAATAAATCACTGTCCTAATCTCTTTTCAAGATGTCACCTAATATGTACAATGTGTACAGAAGGGTGTCTCGCACTGTCAACAGGCTGACTTAGAGCTCACTATAGAACCCAGGTGGGCCTCAAACTCAAAAGTGCTTGCCCTGCAGAGTGTTACAGTTACAGGTGTAAGCCACTGAGTCCAGATCTGTTGCAGTTCTAACAGGATCAACCCTAGACACAGAAACTTGGTGACAACTACAGATTTACACTTCTATGCTTCTACTCAGTCTATCTCTACACTCAAATCTAATGCACTGGCGAAAACAAGAACAGAACTACACACATGTACAATTAATATCAACATGAATCCAAGAAAAGCTTTGTTTGAGCTGCCAGTAGGTTTTCAAAATAAACTTTAGACTCTAATATACATCCAGTACAACCGAAATTCAAGATATCACCACAGCAATTTTTAAAATCTGTAACTGCCAAGCTAAGAAACCAGAGTACTAAATCATAGCTGATATCAATCAAGAGAAACAAAGGTGACACACCCACATTCTCTCTGTAAGTTAAAGATCGACAGAGGTATAGGGTTAAATGAACTTTTAATGCCCTCAAAACAATCATCTATATACTATAAGAAATTCTTACAAAAATCTATGTTGTATTTTCAGGCATCTGTTGACTCCCAACAAAAATATAATCCTCTTTGGTGACATTATCGGTGACAATGACAAGATGACAAGGGTTAGAGCAGAAGCAAAACCAGAATCAAGTATGTAAAGCTAAAAGTGATCTTTCAGAAAGCAAGTACCTTTGCTTTTAGAAGTGATGACACCGGCTAAGACAGGTCAACTGGTCATTAACTAGTCAAGAAATTCAAGTTCTAAAAACAAGAACTTATCTCTTACCCCTTCGTGCAATAAATACTACATACCACCAGTAGACTCCTGTATTCCTCTCCACTCTATACGCAGGTGCATACTTGAACACAAGACGTTGTCTACAGATACACTTCAAAGCTTATCAAGCCCACCTTGGTGGTGGCAGTTATCAAAGGCATAGACTGATGTAATGTTACAAGCAGTTCAGAAAAAATTAACTTAAATTTTGAGTGCTGGCAAAGAAAGTTTCTATCTTAGCCAAGTTAAACCTGTGCCCAACTTGCAGTCAGTCTGGGCCACGAGAAATCAAGCCATGCTTTATGCAGAAACAGGACAAGCCACACACTGGTTCTCTTGAACTAACGGCATCAGCAGACCAAAGCTTTTTGGGTTTCTTGTTGTTTTGTTTGTTTTTTAAGTCAATCAAATGTATACCTACCTGTATCTGGAAAATGTAAACCTGACCTCAGTCAAATGCCCTTAGAGCTTTAACACTTAGCCAACGGAGCAATTTGGGATAAACTATAAAGAACCAAACTCACACAACAGTGATAAGGTTTAAAAATCAAGGTAAAATTTCCCGGAAAAAGCTCATGGTTAGCTTCCAGCTATGAACTGGCAACAAAAACAAATTAGTTTAAGTTTCCCTTTAAGTGGCCTGTATATATACATTCAAGTATATATTGAAGTTGTACCAAAAACTGCTTACAAATGGCAATTCCTGTGAAGTAGATGATGATGAAGTCCCAGGTAATTCTAGCATGTTTCCTAATGTACTGGTACTGGAGTCTGGATCATCCTGAAAAGATAAATTTATTGAGTTAAATTGCTCTTCTATGGTAATGTTTGCATCTCCTAGTGAAATGGGGGCTGGGAGGAGGGCTGTTTTTTCATTGCTTCCGTCCACTTCACTTCTTTGTTTATTTTTCTGTTTTTCAGTTTCAGGAGCTAATGGCAAGAATGGCCGTTTGACTGCCCCATGTCTACTCTCTGATGTGCTGTCCCGTTCACTTCCCATGGCCATTTCTACACCGTTTTCTGATTTAGGCTCATTATTGCAGGTGGCATTGGTCTGAGTTTCCTCAAAGATCTCCACTATACTCTCATCCTCTGGGACTGGCTGTTCTGGGTCCATTTCAGAATCTACAACTGCATCGTCCACACAAGTAACATTCTCAAAGTGCAGAAAGCCATTCTTGGTCGTCTTTGTTACTCTTAACTGGAGTTCGGGGGAGTTATTACAAGAGGGATCCTGTTTCATAGCAAGTGCTGTTGGACCACCGGGACTCAAGGAAGTGCAAACAATTGGCGACTGAGCTCTTGAATCACTTTTTGCAGGGTCTTGAAAGGACTCTGCTCCATCAGCAGACCCACTTAAATACTCTACATTGATCATGGAGGCCAAATCCTGTAGTCTCCGCAGTGGAATGTAACAAGATGGAGAATCTTGTCCATAAGCATTTTGGGATGTTCCACTGGCAGTCGGTAACTGCATAGTACACCCTCCTTTAAGTGGCTCAGAAAAATTGGATTGACCATTACCGAAAGGGCTGTCCTTGTCTTCGGGGGCATCTAAATTCACTGGATTAGAAAAGGACAGCAGACAATTCCTTCTAGATAGTTCACAAGTCTGATCCATACTGTGCCCGCATCAACCTGGAATCCAAAAGACACAGCGATTAATCTGAGTTAACAGACCATCTGACTCTTCTCTTCAAAATGGCAGCCACTCCTGAAGGCCTAGTGGCCTTTCTGCTGCACTTCCAAGGACGGAAAAAGTTCTCCAGGCTGACGACAGGAAAATGGCCTCAGTGAGTCTCGGCGAACTACATCTTCCTGGAGCTGGGCAAAGCCTGCCACATGGAAACCGCCCGTTCATCGTCCCTGCACTGCAGGCTGACGGACACTGGGGCTGAACTAAAATTAAAACCCTTTGGCAGTCAAAATCCCCAGATCTCTAACGAGAACCCTCCTCCTCCCCACGCCCAAGGTCCGGCAGCCAAATCTCTTGAAAGAGACGGGGGCTGCGGGTGTCGGGGGGCAGCTTCTGGACGCGGCACAAAAGGGCACCCCCTCCTCCTCCTCCTCCTGGGCGCAGCGGTCACAATAGCGCTGCACCCCGCGCCCAGCCGGCGCCGGAGCCGGAGCCTCTGCAGCTACCGTGCGCAGGCCTCAAGCAAGTTGGCCGAGGCGGCTGTGCCCGGGGCCC